ACCGTAGCAGCATCTCTGGGTCATGTGATCCCCTTTGGAGAACTTATCACAAGCAAAGTCAATGGGGAAGCCAGATTCAGTTAACAACTGCAGGGATTCACTTAACAAATACGGCGAGACAGGTCGTAAAATGGGGCAAAACTCACTCAACAAATGTCTCACCGCCACAGAAATTTGGGGCTCAATTCTGGTCGTATGTCAAGGACTACCTGTAGTAATCAGTGTTTGATATTCTGGAATAGCACATTTTACTTGTAAGAAAAACATAGTCTTGAACTGTTTCAATAAAAAGGAGATAATGTCATAAGCCTACTTACCACAATGCAGGTATAAATATTGCAAAGTAGTATTGTTTATCGAAGTTCAAAGTTTCTCACCTTTACAGTGAAATCTGCAGTGAGAGGACCAGGTATCCTCAATATCTCTTTGTCTGCAAATTTCTGAAACTCAACAGAAGAATTATCCACAAGGAAGGATCCAGCGAAGCTGAGACTGTTTTCGCCCTTCACACCTTGCAGAGTTTTGGTTTCTAGATCTGACAAATACAAGCACACGGAAGAGTCACACACTGTTGTTTCCTTGGCACAAAGGAATAAAGCTATCAAGCAAAACACTAGATATAAAGCATTATTTGTTTTAATTTAATCGAGTGTGTTATTAATGCTTCATCCAGTTCTTTTTATACCTTTCTCTCTGGTTTTCACTTTGCTTTGATCTAACCTACTAATCTCTTGCATTGTGTAGGACAGAACTATTTCCATTATAGCTAGCATTTGTATCGGTGTGTCAGTTTATCTGGACTTAGGCATGCAGAAGAGAGAATGGCAACCCCAAACTCAATACAATCTAGATATACTGTACTTTCATTCATTCCTATCATCCACGGTGGTTCAAATGTCATTTCCCATTTTACAAAATGCACTCACAGTATTATATCAGCTAATCGAAAGATGATACTTAATGTGTTTATGAGCATCGTCCTTTCTTTGAGTTGAGACTGAATTGCTACGTCATCCAGTTTTGAGAGAATGAAAATGTGTGGGTTAAGAGAATGTTGCAAAGGACAGTGGCTGTTTTGGATAGAACACACACATACAGTTTTTGATTCCAGTATAAGAAGTCCTCGACTTACGACCACAATTGAGCCCGACATTTCTGTTGTTAAGTGAGACATTTATTAAGTGAACTTTGTCCTATTTTACCACCTTTCTTGCCACATTTGTTAAATGAATCACTTCTTTTAATTTAGTAACAGAGGTGGTAAGGGAATCTGGCTTCCCCACTGATATTGCTTGTCAGAAAGTCACAAAAGGGGATCACATGACCCCAGGATACTGCAATTGTCATAAATATGAGTCAGTTCCCAAGCCTCTGAATTTTGATTATGTGACCACTGGGATGCTACAATAGTTGTAAGTGTGAAAAATGATCATAAGCCACTTTTTCAGCGCTGTTGTAACTTTGAATGGTCACTAAATGAACTGTGTAAGGCTGTTGGTTTGAACTCTTTGCTTGGCAATAGCAGTAATAGCAGTAGACTTATATACCGCTTCATAGGCCTTTCAGGCCTCTCTAAGCGGTTTACAGAGAGTCAGCATATTGCCCCCAA